TTGTTGTTGTTGTTGTTGTTCTAATACCATAATGGAGATTAACAAGGCCTCATACATGCTAGGCAAGTGTGCTACCGTTTAGCTACATCCCTGCCTTTTGTTTTCAGTTGCCAGGCCATCCTCAAAGTTGGGACCTTGGGCTGTAGAAATAGCTTGGCGGTCTAAGCATGTGCCTAGCAAGCACAAGGACCTGAGTTTGATCCCCGGTGCCCCATGTCATGCTGGCACGCTGTGCTGGCCGTGGAAACTGGGTGTGGTGGCGCACGCCTGTAACCCCAGCACTGGGGAGGTTCAGACAAGAGGATCACTATGAGTCTGAGCTGCATAGCGAGATCCTGTGCCAAATAAATAAAAGATTAAAAAGAAAAAACAAAGTTGGAATCTTGGCTCAGTTTCTGTAGCACTAAGATTAAAAATGTGTGCCACCAAGCCTGTCTGCCACTGTGCCTTTTCCTGTGTCTCTTCCTTTCTCCCATTGGGCGGTACTGGGGATTGAAGTCAGACCCTTCTTACTAAGCTGTATCTCCAGCCCTCTTTTTATTTTGAGATAGGTTCTTATTAAGGTAATAAGTTCCCCTGACTGAGTTTGTTTATTTATTTATTTATTTTTGCGGAACCAGGGATTGAACTCAAGCCCTTGCACTTGCCAGGGAAGTGCTTATTCTACTGAGCCATCTCCCTAGCCCCTCCTGAGTTTAAACTTGCAGTCTTTCTGCCTCAGCCTCTCAGAAAGCTGGAGTACAAATGTGTACCATCTTGCATGGCCTTTTTTTAAAAAAAAAAAATTTTTAAAGCATGGCAGAAAATTGGCCCATCCCAAGTATATTTTCTGTCAGTCCATAACATCATTGTGTTCTTTAAAAAAAAACAAAAAAAAACCTAAACCATTATCAGCTGACCTGTTTGCTACCAGGTGACACTTCACAAAGTCTGAGGCATTGGGAAAGAGGATGTTAGTCAGATATGAGGCATGCTGTTAAGCACTGAACAGAACATTAGACAACTCCCACAACAAAGGATTATTCTCTCTAAAACATTAATAATGAGGCCAGAGAGATAGCTCAGCAGACTAAGCACCTGCTCTGGCAAGCACAGGGACCAGGGTTTCATCCCGCATGCTGTGCTGGCCCCAGGCATGGTGGCGCACACCTGTAATCCCAGCACTGGAAAGGCTGAAAACAGGAGGATCACTACAACTCCAAGCTGCATAGTGAGACCCTGTACCAAATATATAAAATGAAGAAAAAAAACAAAGAAAGAAACCTAGAACATCAATAATGAAGGCTGAGGGCTGGGGAGATATGTCAGCGGCATAAGTGTCTGTCTGGCAGGTGCAGGGTCCTGAGTTTGATCCCCAATACCAAACATTTTTTTTTTTTTTTTTTTTTTTTTTTGCATTACTGGAATTGAACTCAGTACCCTGCACTTGCCAGGGGCAAGCGCTTTTGTACTTTTTCTCTTTTCATGTATGCTGTAAAAATGTCTTTGATGACTGATTAATAGATATTCTGGTAGAAATAATTTAGGTTGATATATATTCAGAAAAACACTGTTTTGTTTAATGAAACTCTTGGCCACAGTGTAACCTTTCTTCTTTTTTATTTAATCCCGTACTTATGCCTATTCCTGGAAAAACATTGTGATGCTCAAATAAATATTGTATAAAATTTCACCTAATCTGTTTCTGTGTCTTAAATGTAAGTTGTCCTACTTTGCCAGAATATATTTTGTTTCAGTATTTGCTCCAATAATAGTTGTGGTTTTTTTACTTTTAAGAAACTTTCTGGAAGCTGGGATTGGTGGCACATGCCTATAATCCCAGCATTAAGGAAGCTGAGGCAGGAGGACCATTGTGAATTTGAGACCAGCCAAGGCTACAAAGTGAGCTCAAGGTCAGCCTGAGCTGCATTGTGAGATCCTGTCTCCAAAAGACCAAAAAAAAAAAAAAAAAAGAGCCAGGTCTGATGGCACACATCTGTCAGCCCACGTCCTTAGGATGTTAAGGCAGAAGGATTACCAAGCCTCAAGGTTAAAATTGGCAAGTTGGCCAAGACTTCTTACCAGAATTTTTGTTTTGTTTTGATTTTTGCGACATGATCTTTTTTATTTATTTATTTATTTATTTAT